AGGAGGATCGCTGTGAGTTCAAGGCCAGACTAGGCTGCATAGTGAGTTGAAAGCCATCTCGGGGTACGGAGCTGCACAGTGCTCCTGCTGAGGTGGCTGTGCTGCCTCCTGAAGGTACCTCCAGCCGCAGATCCCTTCCCCAAGGCCACTACAAACAAACCCTCTCCCCATAAACGCAGCTCCTCAACAGCCTGGCCCAGTAATCACAGCCACCTGTGAGGCCTCCATGTTTCCAGGCAGTCACCTTGACTCTGCGGGTCCAGGGAGGAGGTTCTGCCACCACCAGGGCCCAGCCAGGACAAGAAGGCAGGGAGCAGTTCTGGAAGCAACCCTGGGTGCCACACTGGCTGGGGAACCGACCCTGAACCTGTGGGCCAGGAGCCCCACAGGGACATGCACACCGTGTAACACCAGGCCCCGAGGACAGCCCAGGACTGGTACAGCACCACCACTATGAAGGGGGACACTGAGGTGGCCAGGGCCCGGACGGCTGCGCTAGGCTAGCTGGACCCAGACTCCAAGGGCGAGGCAAACATCCGGCAGATGATCCCAAGACATCTCTGAAAGGCGCTCGCTGGGCTCTGATGGCCCCCAGGGACCTGACGGCACCCCATCAGCACCGTCACGGGGCCTGCCCAGGGCCCAGCATGCTGCAGCTCCGCCAGGCCACACTGACCTGAAACTGACCCTTCCCACATCCCTGCCGCTTCCTTTCCAAGTTCAAACTCTCAGCTGAATCTGGGCATGGTGACGCCGCCTCTAATCCCAGCACTCCAGGAGGCTGAGGCAGGCCAGCGAGTAACAGCCAGACCTCAGCAATGAAGGACTCATGGAGCCCCTGTCTCAAAATTAAAAATAAGAAAAGGGCTGGGGATGTAGCTCAGTGGGAAAGCCCTGGGTTCAATCCCCAGTATCGCAAAACAAACAAAAGAGCCAGACTTCAAGGCCCTGCCCTCACACCATCTGCTCACGGAAAAGTTCCAGGGGCCCCATTTGCATGTAATTATAATCATCATCACAGCATGCAGGAATGAGTGTCACAGTTGGTCCTGTGCCAGCCTGAGGCTGCCCCCAGGGCAGGCTGCCGATTACGGTCAACAGGACTCCTTACCCCTCACTGGGACAGGCTCAAAAACCCACTCTGGATGAGCTATGCGAGGCTGAGGGAGGTTAAGGGATTTGCTCAGCATCACAAAGATTGAAGAGCAAAACCAGACCAGCAGGGGGAGAAAGAAGTCACTGGGGGTCCGGGGATTTAGCTCAGTGGTCCCACCCACCTGCCTCACAAGCACAAGGACCTGAGTTCTATCCCCAGTACCAAAAAAAAAAAGTCACTGGGACTTTGTGCCCAGAGGACAGCTGAGGTCTCCTAGGCGGAATTAATTCTCTCCCTGGCCACCTCTCCCTCCTCCACAGGCTGGAAGCCCACCTTCCAGAACAGCCCCCCGGACAAACCCCAGCCCCCTGGCCGCCTCCTCTTCACAGCAAATCATGCATGGCTTGTGAATGGCTCCATCTATCCAGCTCCCCAGCACTCAGATCCTGCCCGGCCCAGGTGGGGAAGGGCAGGGCCTTCCGGACACCAAAATGGCCCTGCGAAGGACTGAGGCCCAAGGCGGGCAAGGCAGACTTGGGGCAAGGCGGTGGAGCCGGAAGGAGCCAGGCAGGATTTCTTACAGAGCTGCCTCCAACACCTCCTCAGCTAGCAAATATTTAACCAGGGTTCGGTGACAACTGGTCTGGGGGGTAAGGGTGAGCTTGGAGTCAGGAGGCCCGAGGCAGGGAGGCCCAGGGAAATGCTCCCCAAAAGGCCAGGGAACACCCGCCCACCCAGGCTGCCGTTTCCACCTCAGGCCTCAGTGGGAGGAAGTCAATTCCCATCCTGACACAAAGGCGCTCTCATGCTACCCGTGCCCTCCTGCCCTGCTTGACTGGCAGCAGCCCCAGGCCTACGGCCTACAGTTGGCAGCTTGTTCGGGAGCCCAAGATGTGGGGGCATCTGCACTTTGGGGAGGATGGAGGAGGGTGCCGAGGCCCCCCAGGAGCACCTTGCCCTGAGCAAGACAGGCTCCCCACACCCACCCTGGGCCTCGAGGCTGGCACTGTGCCCACACAGCAGTCTCTGGGCTGCAGTCCCATGCCGGCCCCTGCTGCAGCCAAGGCCACACCTGAGGCCAAGGGAGCCATGAAGAAAGGGTCCCAGGAAGCCCAGCCACCTCCCAGTGCCCCCTCCTACCCAGGCCCAGAGGGGAAGCCACACAGCCACGGACACAACTGGCTCAGCGCTGTAGCAACCTCGCCTCTCTGAGACGGCTGCTGTCATCAGGATGGACTCACAGGTCACAGAGCGGGTGGCTGAGTTACCACAGTAAGTTATTTTTGTTTTTTTTCCTGGTACCGGGGATCGAACTCGGGACCATGAGCTTGCAAGGCAGTCTGCAGAACCACTGAGCGAAATCCCGGCCCTTCTGGGTTTTTTTGAGACAGGGTCTCAATATGTGGTTCACGCTGGCCTCAAACTTTCACACAGATGTCATTCTGCCTCAGCCTCTGGAGTGCTGGGATTACAGGTATGTGCTACCATGCCTGGCTTCTACTACATCAGTCATGTTGGACACACTACCAGTTATGCCTCGTCCCCATTTCCCTTGATCCTGTGCGTGTGTGTGTGTGTGCGCGCGCGCACTAGGGATGGAACCCAGGGCCTCCTGCATGCTAGGCAAGTGCTCTACCACTGAGCTGCAGTGCCAGCCTCTCCACCGCCCTTCTCCTCCTTTCCTTCCCTAACCTCCTCACCACCCCACCAGATCCCCAGTCCTCCTCCCCTAGGCCTCAGCCACCTGTCCAACTGCCCCAGCCACAGGGCAGCACCCCAGCTGCTCCCCAATCCGTCTCCCTCTCGGGGCAAGTTCAGAATGCGAGGCAGGACCGGGGCCTGGCACTGCGCTGCAGCACACACCCGTGCAGAGGCCCACCCCTGCCAAGGGGAGAAGCCATCACTCAACTGCGTGTCCACCTGCAGTGAGAGGGCCTCCTGACCAAGCCCTGACCCAGGACATGTCCATAGCCAGCCTGACAGCCAGCATCACTGACCCCTCCATCTGCAAGTTTCCTGCCACCAAGAGGCAGGAGCGAAGGGCAGGACTCGGCCTGACACCCACACGTTCCATCAGTCAGCTCCAGACAGGCCAAAGTAGCGCCAGCAGCAGAGCCGAGGTCAGAGATCACCAGGAAAGGTTGGCGTACCCTCCCCACAGAAATGCAAGCAAAGACTGAAAAACACACGCCAGTTATTCCAGCACTCAGGAGACCGAAGCAGGAGGATCGCCACAAGTTTAAGGCCAGCCTGGGATATACAGTGAGACCCTGTCTCAAACAAACACACAAAAAGAACACACAGGAAAGCCTTCATCTGTTCACCACCCTTCCCATGCCAAGGGCATTTATGGGACAGTGTTATGTCAGGTTCTGGTATTAGATCTAGGTTCAAATGCTGATTCGCTGGCTTTGAATTTGTGGATCCGTTCTTCCCAAACCTCAGTTTCCTCTGCTGTAAAATGGGAGAACAGAAGCCCCCACCTTTGCCAGGCTGTCAGAACAACTTGAGAACGAGAGTGGGTCCACAGCCTAACCAAATGGACCTAGGAGTGTCAGAGACAAGGACCCAGGAGGAGGTGACAGGTTTCCCTCTGTCCCAGGGCTGGCGGCCAGGGTGTGCAGGGGGAGCTGGCACAAGCCCTACTGGCTGGCAGCTTTCTGTGATGTTTCAAGTCAGAGATGGAGACCAGCAAAGGGCGACTGAGAAGCAGCGACCCGGGTCCTAGGCGGAGCAGTCAAGGGATGAGGCCAGTGTGGGGTTCGGTCTTCCGGGCCCTCGTCCTACAGAGGTGACAATGAAAAAGGGGAAACAGAGCAAGAAACCGCAGTGAAGACCTGAAAGCCACCAAACCGCAGCCAGCCGACCTCAGAGACCGCAGCCTTTGGCTGGTGTTGAGGTGCAGGTGGAGATGCCCGCCTACCGCTCCCTCAGCTCCAGCTTCTTCTCAGGAGACCGCAGTGTCAGCCCCAGAGATCAAGGGCCCCGAGTCCTTCAGCTGTCATGGATTCCAAGCCTCTGCACATTCCCACAGGTGTACTCTCTGGGGGAAAAGGCTAGAGGTCAGGGACCCCGTATGTCTTGTACCTGTACTGTCTCTGTCTCCCAGCTCCTTCTTTGACTTACTGCATTGACCAAGACATCCAGGTGAATGGCAAAACGCTTTTGGCTGGAAGCAACGGTGCCCACCTATAACCCCAGCTATTCACGAGGCTGAGGCAGGAGAATCTCTTGAGCCCAGTTCAATGCCAGCCTGGACAATTAGCAACTTCCCATCTTTAACAGGAAAGGTGGGGGAAGAAGAGGAAAGGAAAAGAAAAGATGGGACTTCTAGCTATAGGGCTGTAACATTAAGTCTCAGAGCCGAGTATGGTGAAACATGAACATTACTGTAATCCCAGCACTCTGAGAGGCTGAGGCAGGTGGATTAAAGTTTAAGCCCAACCTGGGCAACCTGGTGAGACGCTGTCTCAAAAGAAAAAAAAAAAAGGAGGGGCCAAGGCTGCAGCTCAGTGCGAAGGCCCTGGTACCACACCAAAAAAAAAAAAAGTCTCAGGCTTGCACGGTGTGCAGTGCAGCTATAAAGGGCCAAGTACCAGGAAAGGGCTGAGAAGGGACAGGAAGGAGAAGCTTAACTCGCAGCCCCAAACCAGAGAACTGTATTATTCCCTGGGAAAACATTCGGGGAAGCCAAGACCCAGTCACATCCTGGCCGAACTGCGATCTGTTCTCGGGTGACCCCTGAAAGCAGGCAGGTCCTTCCCGGGAGGGCGTCTCAAAGCCCAGCAGGGGACAGGTGGCAGTGAAAAGCCAAACTTCCGGACCCAACAGACCCAGCTCTGCCCCGACCATGATCTTCCCGAGCCTCAGTCTCCCTAGCCATAACACAAGCATAAAACAGTACCAGCCTCAAAGGTCGGTGGTGAGAACTGAAGACGTGAGAAACGCTTGGCTCCTGCCTGATGGCCATTACGAGGGTGGGACAAGCCAGGCAGCATTCAAGGTCGGCGCAGACTACACAGGGAAACCCAAAGCCTGGACAAACAGCCTTCAAGTCACGCTCCGCACTAAACCCCAGTCGGGTTTTTTCCCAAGCTGCCTCGAGACCCCAGGCTCCTGTCGTACGCATGCGCACACGCGCTCGCTCGCAAGCCCACACTGCTACCCGTAGCTTCTACCTCCCAGGTCCCATGGGCAGGTGGGGCGGGCTGGGGCGGGGCAGCAGGACGGGGAGAGGGGAGGAAGATGAGCCAATATGACAGTGTGCTTGCATGCTTGCAGCCGGGCCAGCAGGAGCCCAGTCACAGGCTGCAGTGCCAGGGACCCTTAGCAAGGAGACCTTTGCACAGATAGAAAATGCAAAGTTTATTCAGATGGCAGGACTCCCTTAGCCGCCCTCTGAGCTGGGCCCGGCCCTACCCTGGGGTCACCAGCTGCAGGCCTCCTGAGGTGCAGAGGGAACCGAAAGGAGAGATGGGAGAAGTTAACAAGGGGGCCCTGCCAGCCTTCTGTCCTCTGGTCCAGGAACCTGCATGGCCCCCACTGGTGCTTCACAGGGGATGCTGCTCAGTCACAGACACAGGGACAGGCTTGTCAGTGAAATGAGGTGGTGAGACGGGACTACCAGTACCTGACTGCTGCTGGATGGCCCAGGCTTCCCCTCGTGACTGTACACCATGGTGCTAGACCCTCAAGGCCCTGACACCCTCCAACTATGACATAAAACAGCGTCCTTTCCCACCACAACATTCAGCCTTGATCAAACCGTTCCTGAGTTCCACCTGTCAGCCTAAGGCAAGGAAAGCCACTGTCCCTAGTTGTCACCAGCTTTCTATTCAGGGCACAAGCCAGTTAGTCATTAGCACACTTGGTTTTAACCTTTGTTTCCTGTCCATTTGCCCCACAAGGACAGGATTCCTGTTTGTGTCTCCTTCGTGACATATCCCCAGCACACAGCATCTAATATTTGTCCCCTGACTGTGTGAGATCACACCAGAGTGCCACAGCTCAGTCTCCCGGGAATCCTAAAACACAGGAGGATAACGGGAGTTTCCTAGAAAGGTGAACTCGGGCTGGGAAACAGACCCACCCTAGCCCCTGGGGCAGGGTGAGAAAGGGCTCTCCAGTCCCAGTGCGGCCCAGCAGCCAGAGCCCTTGCTGCACAGGGCCTGGTAGGGAAGCGGACAGCTGAGCCCAAGGCCACCCATCAGCAGCGGGGGGGGGGGGTCACCGCCCCTGTTATGCCATCTGAAGCTGTCACCTAAGCTCACCTCAGTTTCCTCTTCCTGCTCGAGTGGAATCCTGTCAAATGATATGGCACCTGCAGGGAGGGAAACTAGAGCAGGGTAGATCCTGTCACCTCCTCTGTCCCCTCCCTACCCCGGGGGGCAGGGAGTGAGAAGGCCCAGGTCTGTGGCCACTCCCCTAGGCTGGCACACTGCTGTGCTCCCAAGTCCCCGTGGGGAGGGATGCTTAGACCCTGCCCCTCAAAGGGACGTGGTGGTGCACGCCTGCCATCCTAGCTACACGGGAAGCTGAGGCAGGAGAATCCTAAATTCAAGGCCAGCCTGGGCCACAAAATAGGACCTTGTCCCAGACTAAAATAAAAAGGGCTGATGGTGTGGCCCAGTGGTAGAACACTTGCCTAGCACATAAGAGGCCTTGGGTTTGATTCCTAATACTGGGGGGAATACAAAAGGAAAAGGAAGGCAGAAGAACAAGAAATGCAGCTACCAAGTCCCACGCACAAGGGAGGTGCTGCAGCCTCTCCCCCCATGACCTGGGGCCACCACGACCTTCATCTATGGCAGGAGAGCAAATCACACACACTGAGGGGAGACCACGGGACACAGCTGGTCCAAGGCACCAGGCACAGAGGGCTCTCAGAGTCAACAGGGCGCCATGGCCAGAGCCCGGGGTCCCACCGCTACCTGTCACATGGGCACTCAGCTGGGAACAAGGACCAGGTACCCAGAGAAGCCAGCCTGTCCAGCCTCTCCCTCAACGGTAAGAACAAAGGGCCCCAGCCTGTGAGTCACCTGGAGCATACACGTGGGACAGAAGGACGCTGAGTGCCACACACACACACACATACACACACACGCACGCGCGCGCGATCACTACGCTCCTCCCACCTCTGGCACAGGGGAAGTCCCTCCTGCCTCAGCCTCCCCAGATCCTCACCTACTAGGTCCTTCATTCTGTCCGCTTTGGGGTCTCCATGCTTCGAGGACATAGGACCTTGCAATGGTATTGATTCATTCATCCACCTTTAGGGGATTACAGAAATTCACTGGAAGCTGGGCATGATAACACATGCCTGTAATGCCAGCACTCTGGGAGGCTGAGGCAGGAGGGTCACAAGCTTGAACACAGTAGGAAACTTAGATCCTGCCTCAAAATTTTAAAATTAAATAAATAAAAAGCTGGGGATGTAGTTCCATGCAAACGCCCTGGGTTCAATGCCTGGTACTGCCAAAGAGGGAAAAGGAAAAAAACAATTGCATGAATAATACTCAGAGTAGTTATCTACTCTGGAACATTTCATGTGCTCTACACACATCATGTAATAACCTTTACAGCCCAATGATTATAATCATCACCATTCCCATTTACAGCTCATGAAACTAAGGCATAGGCAGCTAGTCACCGGCCTCGGGGCACTTGGCAGCAGCTGGTGGACCAAACTCTCACCTCTACTGCCCACCTCTGATGAGCCCCGAGCCCACAGGCATGCATACTGATGAGAATTAGGATCCCAACCCTGGTGGCTCACACCTGTGATCCCAGCATTCAGGAGGCTGAGGCAGGAGAATCGCCTTGAGTCTGAGGTGAACCTGGGCTTCTCAGGGAGTTCAAGCCCAAGCTGAACTGTATAAGAGACCCTGTCTCAAAAAATAAACAAACAGGGCTGGGTAGCTCAGTGGCACCTTGCCTGCCTCACAAATGTAAGGTCCTGAGTTTGATCCCCAGTAACAACAACAAACAAACAAAATGACAACCACGGAAGACCCACAGCGGGGCAGCCCAGGGACCCCCACCCAGCCTGCCAGGCTGGGACCAAGGCAAGAGTGTTCCTGGCCTCCAAAACCTCTGAGTCCTCCAAAACCATTTAGGGTCTAGAACTTGACCCTGAAGATACAGGAGGGCCTGAAGCAAGTCACAGTAGAACTAGTAAGGTCACTGCACTCCCGAAGGCTCTCACCCAACCCCTCCATTGACGCACAGGGGAAACTGAGGCCCAGAGCAGAGGCAGGAGTCAGCCAAGACCACAGGGGTCTGAGACTAGATGGCCTCCCCTCCAGAGCTGGACTCCCAGAGGCCATCCAGAGGCTGCAGGAAGGAGGGCGGAACACCGGGGGGCGGGCCCCTAATTGCACAGGAAGTCTGCGGGGCCTTGCCAGGGGGAGAGGGTCCAGGCCAGGCAAGATCCCGCCAGGGTCTCAACAGGAAATGGGAAAGCTAAGCCCACAGTTTGGCCTCTGCAGCCAAGTAGATCCCTAGTCGCTGAGAAAGGAAGCCCTGTGCTAGGGGCCCTGCCTCCCAGCAGAAAGAAATGAAGAGTTTGTACCCCTTCCAGGTAGTGCACACCCGTACTCCTAACATTCAGGAGGCTGAGGCAGGAGGATCACCCCAAGTTTGAGACTAACGTGGGATACGGAGTGAGTTCAAGGTGAGCCTGAACTACATAGTGAGACACTGGCTCAAAAAAAAAAGGAAAGAGCAGGCGGGCTTCTGAGACACCAGCTGGCCCCAGAAAGAAAGGGCACATCCACCTGGAGGGTCCAGCTCACCGTCACTTTAGAAATGAGGAAACTGAGGCATCCGTCAAAGTTACAGCACAGTGCCGATGGCCCCGCCAGTCCCTTCCTCTTCCTCCCCATTTCCTGGCAGCCTTAAATATGGGATTGGGGCGGGAGGAGTGTGGCGTGGGCTATTTTTAGTGGCTCATAGCCCCTCGCTGTGTGCCCGGCCAGGCTGTCCCCAACAGGCCCCCTCTTCTCATGGAACGCCTGTTTGTTTACTTAGCCTTCAAAATTATAACCTCTGCGCTCCACCCAGCCCGCTCACTCCTTCCCTGACCGAGTCTTAGCTGTCCAGGTCTGTCTGTCCCAGGGACGGAAGGGACAGAAGAAGAGAAGCCCTCGTGCTGGGGTCAGGGGCCCCTGCGTCGCATCCATTTCCATAGCTCTGAGACCCTGGGCGTGAGCTCTCTGGACTTCAGCATGAAGTGGACAATGCGGTGGGCCAGATGATTTTAAAGGGCCCTTCCTGGCCAGGAGGAGGAAGGATCCGAGCCAGGCATGGGGCACACCTGTAATCCAGTGTTCTGGAGGCTGAGGCAGGAGGATCACCACAATTCCAAGGCCAGCCTGGGCTATAGTGAGACTGTCTTGAACAACCAAAAAAGAAGAAGAGGAGGAGGAGGAAGAGGAAGGAGGAGGGTCTGGGCCAGAAAAGAAAAACAGCCAGTGTCCACTGGCAGCTCCAAACCCATGGCAGCAGGGACTGTCCCCTAAAGTTCCCATGGGAGTCACTGCTCCTGCAACGCAGCAGCGTGGGTCCCTCCAGAACTTCAGCTGTTGTCTCCCCTCCCCTCCCCCGTCCCTCAAAACACAAAACACAAAAAAAATCCAGGCTTTTTGGCACATGTGTGTAACACCAGCTACTGGGAAGGCTGAGGCAGGAGATTCCAAGTTCCAGACCAGACCGGGCAACTTAGCAAGGTTCTACCTCAAAATAAAAAACTAAAAAGGGCTGGGAAAAGCTCAGCAGTGGAGCATGTGCCAAGCATCATGGGTTCAATCCCCAGTACTGCCAAAAAGTTAAAAAATGTAAAAACCAAACAGAAGTGTAATTTTATCCTCTCTCTCCACCCAGAGGTCTGGGTCGGCCTTAAAATCCCTGACAGGCAGAGGCAAAGGCCACAGGGCCCGAGAACACAGGACCGGCAGGGCACGTCTCCCAGAATCCTCAGGCACCCAGAGGCAGGGCCCTCTGTCCCGTCTCCTGGCCAGACACTGCCGCTGGAGTGGGGCTGAGCAAGTTTAAAGCCAGATGCACTCTGGAAAACACAAGCACGCCCTGTCTCTGTAA